TTAGTTGTCTCTTTTAACAGTTGAATTATTGGATATTAAAATTGGAAGTAAATGATACTAAAATCAAAGTAGCCTAACTAAATCTCTGAAACTCAGAATAGTACAATTTACATGTATAACGAGAGAAAATCTTACAGAACTGTAACAAAACCAAGCCTGTAGTCACACTTAATTGTTCGGAGGGGCAAGTAATATATCAGGAGGGGCAATGGAGTATAGTGTTTAGTAGCAGTAATGGTATTGGTAGATGTCAGAATGTTTTCAGAGGGATTTCCCTGAAGCTACGGACCAGAACAGAACGGATGTAGAGGTGTCATAGAGAATACAGAATTGACACGCCCAGTCTGAGTGTGATCCCCTGAATTCTGGACTCTCTGCCCACAGTAATCAATAAAGCAAATATCTTACCCGAATATGTAAAATTAGTTAGACTGTCCTTAGTTAAACAATTTATAAAGTTAAAATCATCCCAAATCGAGTTGATCAGACGTTGATCTATTATTGTATTTATGGTAAACTATAGAGTGATATATTTAAGTATAGCTAGGGGCATTTATTTTTAAACAATCATATATTATAATTACCACATAATATCCACATTATTAGGTGTATATATTAAACATTATGGTTCGATCCTTTCTTTGACTAGCTACACATTTTCCTTAATTCTTGTATATATCAGATGTTACAGATGTGGTATATATCAATGCAAAACAAGTTCAATTTCTTCACTTCTGGTTAACAGACTATCCAGGAAACCAAGATACAATTTCTTTGAATCACTGACATACATCCATCAGAACCAGGATCAATTTCTTTCAATCTCAAGGACAGAACCGACATACGCCCATCATAATCAAGACTCGATTTATTTCAATAACAAGGATAGAACCGACATACACCCATCGAACCGAGGATAAATTTATTCGAATTACCAAAAAAGAACCAACAAACACCCATCAGAACCAAGATCAATTTCTTTGAATCACAAGGATAGAACCGACATACACCCATCAGAACCAGGATCAATTTCTTCGTATAACAAGGATAGGACCGACATACACCCATCAGAACCAGGATCAATTTCTTCGTATAACAAGGATAGGACCGACATCCACCCATCAGGACCAAGATTAATTTCTTTGTATAACAATGGTAGAACCGACATACACCCATCAGAACCAGGATTAATTTATTTGAAACCGACACCCATCATAAACCAGGAACAATTTGTTTGAATACCAACGAGAGGACCGACATGAAGACAAAAATGAAAGCCGAAAATCATCTATTATAGAATAAAATCCTCTGAAATATCACAATGTTAAGTAACGTATGTTAATATTTCTTTACTAGCATACAAAGTTGTTGGACCCGAGACCCTCGACTTCTTGAGGTACCATGATTATATCATTTGACAGCGGAATTTAGAATAATTGTAAATCAAATACCATGGAAACTTGCTTCGGGTACGCCCTATGGTTTGGCACGAGAAACCAGGAGTTAGTTTTTTTTAACAAGTATGGTCCCTTCATCTCACCTTTCATGGTAGACTAATATACGTAGGTTTTGACTAATTTGGTACAGAAATATCAAATCCAAAGTTTGAATTATATATCGCTGTCAATATCGACTTTGAATTATATCAGCAATGTAGACAAAGTCACAGTCCCTGTATATAAAATATCTAAATAGGGTTTATGATTGTACCCAAATACATAAATCTTCCTGGCGTGGATCACACTCTCCTGGGAACATCTGAACAGAAAGTTTCTACCCAATGTAATCCATGGATGGGAGATTCTTCATATGTATTATTAACCCCACCAGATCAGATTATCACGATGTATACACCTGGTGATTACACATGTTTAAATATGAAACAAATTAGATAATAACTCACCCATGGTCTAGAACATAAATAAAAACAAAGAAATTACTCACTGTGAATTCATTAAAAATTATTTATAATCCATAAAATGATATTTCCCTCAGCTAGATCCAAATTTATCACAAAATATTCAGTGTAAAGTAGTCGGTCATAGAGCTTTAACGCCTCTCGTATAGCAGGATTAAACTAAAAATGGATAGGGTTACAATGTATGAGCGCTTGAATGAATATAAGACTCTATAAGATGTAGTTTGTTGGTCTATTCGGGTGAAAACTCAACAATATAACCAGGTATTCGAAGGGTATATTATAAAAACGGAACGTGTTTTGAAAAATGGAAATTAGGGAAGGATATACTGATGTATTGAACCCTACCCTGTATTAATAAGGAAAAAGATATAGAAATTGTATTATGGGGAAGGTAGATTATCTACGGTGGCTGGTATAAGACACATGTTTTGTTTCTTTTACGTAAATCATTGAAACGACTGTGTGCCGCGATACTCTTTTAAAAAATAAAATCATAGCCTAATAGAAAATATAGTTCAATAGGACGATACTGGTGATTAGGCTTTGAAAATAGGACAGCTTTGAGCAAAAGGGTGATATTTAATAAAATGATACCACAATGCCAATGCTGTACTAAATCTTGTTATTATGTATGGCACTATTGCAGTTTTCGGAGAACAGGATGGTTCATTTTCCTCGGAAAACAAGCGATTGTATACAAATCACTAAGATAAGCTTTTCCACAGAGCGCAGAAATCAAACAAATAAAGGCCCGTAGCCAGACTTGATTTGTTTGGAGGGGCAAGTAATATATCCGGAGGGGCAATGGTGTAACGTGTTCAGCTGCTGTAAGGAAGGTTCTCAGAAATTTTTTCAGGGGGGTAATCCATTTTGATACAGTTACGTGCTTAAAATTTAAATCGTGAAATTAAAGAAGGATTTGGCTGTTATTTAACTAACTTTTCAGGGAGCCATCCTACTCTAAATGTACAGTATATTTATGATGTCCACTGCCCTCGTAATAATAATAATAATAATAATATTTGGAAAGTATTTTTTCGTATTTTATATATTTGAAAGGTATTTTGAAATTTGATATAATTGTAAAGAAGTATGCATCTGTACAAAGTTATTTATATTCATATCTTCAAGTATTGTACTAGCACATTATGTACTATGGGCTGGAGGCCTTATATACTGAAATAAAGATTAAAGATAAAGATAAAGAATAATAATAATGCCCTCGTGAAGGCATGTAACGTCCACATTAATGATAATGCAGCATACTGTATTCTATTTGTCTGTATCCGGCCACAGAGATGGCGGTAAAACACGTATTTTAGTTCATAGAAAAAAAAACCTGTGTGTAACCTGTAGTATCTACGGGCTTACTGTTATCAGGTTTTCAATCAAAAAACCAGGTAACGCTGGATAACTCTATTGAATTTCATCAAGTCGCTTATATCTAACTATGACCTACCACTGTGATCTATCTTTATGAACTATCTTCGCAAATCATGTCAACTTTTTATTTTATTGTTAATTTCCTACTTGATGTTAACCCTGATGTTTTCTTCACAACGACTGGACAAAACATTCTTTGAGAATCTGTTTTACCCACTATTTTACGACATGAACCAGAGGGTGGGTTGTAGAAAAGCACATTATACCAGTCGACCTAGCTGTAAATGGGCACGGATATTCCAATTAAGGTCAATGACAAAGGATCCTTGTTGTTATCCATATCGAAAATTGTTGTGTCTTTCTTTATTTAGGCTCCATGTTCTTGATAGTTTCTAGGTGCGTTCAGATGACCAAACCTTGCG